TTAGATGCCATTTACATATTTTGTGACAATATATCTTATCATCAACAATGGACTGAGAATTGGAAAAAGATCAAGGGTGTTTATAACAATATCAAAGACATCTGTGACGCTTTAAAGGGAGGTGTCAAACAAGTCAATCAAGATTCAATTTCTGTTAGCTTTTTCGCAGAAAATGACGATGTATCCGCTGAAAACCTGAACCAATTGGAACCCAGTTATATGTACACACAAATATTCAAGGAAATTCTCCTTGAAATGGAACATGATCATAACCAAGCCGTCAAGATATTAGCGATGTATTACCGCAAATTTTATCATGATAATATGGCTCAATTGAACATTATTGATGAATTGGAGCATACTTATCGTCAGGATAAGGCACTCAGGTGGTATACACGTGGTCATTTTATCTATGAAATGCTCAATCGAGCACTTCGAACATTAGATGCCAATACAATTATTAATATGGGATTTTTTATTCATGATCTCCATCAACAAATTAAGGAACTACATGAACAACAACTTTCAAACTATCAGGATAAGCCTTTTGTAGTTTACCGAGGACAAGGTTTGAAAAAAACTGATTTCGACAAACTCAAAAACACAAACGGTGGTCTCATGTCTTTTAACAACTTTTTATCCACCAGCAATGATCGAGATATTTCCTTCATGTTCGCCGAGAGTGCCTTAGAAAATACAGATATGATGGGAATACTTTTTATAATTACTATTGATCCTCGTGTTTCATCAACACCATTTGCTTCTATCAAAGAGGCTAGTTATTTCAAAACAGAAGAAGAAATACTCTTCTCCATGCACGCCGTGTTTCGAATAGGTGCAATTAAACAAATGGGCAATAATGATCAACTTTTTCAGGTAGAACTTCAACTAACTGCTGATGATGACGAACAACTTCAGCGACTTACTGAATGTATAAGCGAAGAGATTGGAGGTAATACTGGATGGGAACGATTGGGTAACTTATTACTTAAAACAGGTCATTTCGATGAAGCTGAAGAACTATATAAAGTACTATTTAAGCAACCATCAAGTGAGAATAATAAAGCAGTTTATTACAATCAGCTTGGATATGTAAAACATCGTCAAGGTAATTATGAACAGGCTATTGATTATTACACAAAAACATGTGAAATCTTTGAAAAAAATCTTCCTGCAAATCACCCTTCGTTCGCTAATGCTTACAACAACGTTGGTAGTGTGTATGATAACATGGGGGAGTACTCGAAAGCACTCTCATTTTACGAAAAAACACGTCAACTATTAGAAAAAACTCTTCCTGCAAATTACCCTGACTTGGCTACTTCTTACAACAACATTGGTAGCGTGTATGATAACCTGGGAGACTACGTGAAAGCACTTTCATTTTACGAGAAGGCACTTGGAATTCAAGAAAAAGCTCTTCCTGAAAATCACCCTTCGTTGACTGCTTCCTACAACAACATTGGTAGTGTATATGTTCATATGAAAGAATACTTGAAAGCACTTCCATTTCACGAAAAGGTACTTAGAATTTCTGAAAAAACTCTTCCTGCAAATCATCCTGACTTGGCTGCTTCGTACAACAACATTGGGACTGTGTATTATAACACGGAAGAGTACTCGAAAGCACTTTCATTTTACGAAAAAACACTTGGAATTCAAGAAAAAAAACTTCCTCGAAACCATCCTCATTTGGCTATTTCCTACGACAACATCGGTAGTGTATATGATAACGTAGGAGAACACTCGAAAGCACTTCCGTTTTACGAAAAAACACTTGAAATTCGAGAGAAAACTCTTCCTGCAAACGATCCTTTGTTGGCTACTTCCTATAACAACATTGGTTTGGTGTATTACAACATGGGAGAGTACTCGAAAGCACTCTCATTTTACAAAAAAACACGTAGAATCTTAGAAACAACTCTTCCTGCAAATGATTCTTTGTTGGCTACTTTGTACAACAACATTGGTAGTGTGTATGATAGCATGGGAAAGTAATCGAAAGCACTTTCATATTTTGAACGTGCTTTGAAAATTCGCTAAGTTTTTTTGCAGCCAAATCATCCTAATCTTAAAACTGTAAAAGAGAGAATTAAAATTATAAAAAAGAAATTATAGTTTATTTTATGAATAAATAAAAGAATGTCTTCTTTATGCAAAAGAAAAATGATTGTACTTGTTTTATTTACTCACTCGCACGTACAAAGAATATCTGCAATTAATTGAGAAGTAATGAGTGTGAATATGGGTTTAGGAGTATTCTCTTTATGTAACTTCCTCATCCTGCTACCTACATCCACAACCACACCCACACCCACACCCATATCCACATCTAAACCTTCAACCGCACCTACACCCATTTATTTTTATTATAATAATTCATGAAGCACTTAAATTAATTTTTTAGTTATTAGTATGTTCCTTCAAATCAGTTACTGGAAAATAAAAGTCGAGAGTAGTCGACGGAGTCATCTTTTTTATTAAGAGATAGCCCAGTTTAGTTTCCAATTTATTATAATATTAGTTAAAGGATGAACAAATAGCATAGCAAATAGAGCTTTCTTTTATATTTCAGAACACGTAGAAAAAAACGTTTGTTATAAAAGTTTTCTATATCGTTGTCACGTGTTAATGCTACTACATTCGGTAAGTTCATGGGGTTTTATTGAGGATAATAATTATGCGTTTCGATATAATGTTTTTTTAGATTTCTAATATTCATTAATGCTTGAACAAGAGGGTGTTTGCTATCTAATGCAGTAACTATCTTTTCAAATGCGGGACAAGCTAATAATGAAAAAGGTGGTAAATGTTCTGCTAAAATATTTTCGTCGATTGTAACAAGCTGATAATCTTTGTTTTCGTTTAGAAATCTTGATAATTTTCTTATAATTCTTGCATTCGTGGTGGTTTGCTTGTCTGATCTTGCCATAAGTCTCGAATAATAGATAAAGGTTAGTCGAAAACCAGATAATTCGCCAAATACGTACGGTAAGACTGGATCGTTTTTATCTTTTTCTGTGAGATGGTCTCTCAAATAAGTAGATCCTTTATTTTCCACAATACCGTAATCCATTTCAACGAGCTGCGTGTAACCGCAGCAAACATTGGGATTTACGTAATTGAAAAATAAATCTATTAACCGCCAACGCATGGTCACATTTCTGTACTGGTAACACCATCCCAGAAAAATTCCAAAAAATGAATACTTTCCTACACAAATCATGTAAGGTTTCCTGTCAAATATTATATCATCAGAAGTTCCTTTGGGAGACACTTTCATTATTCCGTGGTCAGGTGATCATATTTCTGTTTTGTTTTCTAAAAATTTATCCAATGATTGTTTCATCTCATCCTTGAACTTTATAATTTCATCATAAATATCTTTGGATTCACCAGGTTTTGCATATTTGTACAACTCTTTATTCTCAACATAAGTATACCAAAATTTATTGAATTCTTCAGGTAATGGAGAAAACTTGTAATACTTGTTTAAATATTCATCTGCAATTCTTTCTGTTTCAGGTGTTTTGATAATATCACATTGAATATGTATATCTCCATATATATTTTCAGCCAAAGATAAAATTTTCTGATCATTTTGTTCTAACAAGAAGTCATAACTCATGCCCGCCAGAGAACCAATCACGTAAGGTACATTGATCCAAGCCCCTATCGGTTTTACATATGCTTTGCGTACCTGTTCATTTTCATCAGGTGGAATATATTCTCTTTCAACCTTTGATATATTTGATCCATCTGGTTGTAATGTGCTTCTTATATAAAAGTGTTTATTAGTTAAATGTGAGTCTTCCAAATGTTCACATTTTATGTCCATTTTCATCTTCTTTAAACCAAATATAATTTCGGGTAACATATACAAACCCTTTAGAACTAATGTTGTACAGTTCGGAGTTAATATTTTATAGCCTAACTTATGTTGAGGTTCTATATCATCTGCGAATTGCATTGGATACGGTGCAGATTCATCGTGTTTCGCGACGCTGTTAGGACTTTCTTACGAGGATACATTGTGAGTGCGCTTATTGGCATATAAAATGCAACTCCAACAGCATTTATCTGTATGTATCGCGACGTTAATCATATTGTTTAAGTATAGATATTCTGAGAAATTTGCAGCTTCACACATGGTTTCAGTTGTCGTAAATTTTGAAACGATTTTGCGCCCGCGATAAACTGCATACGTTTCCATTTTATTGTGTGAATTTTACCTTTGGAAATCTGGAATATATTTTTAAATTTTAACTTTGAATTTTCGTAATTATGCAAAACACTATTCAGACTATCTAAGGTGGGTGTGGGTGTAAGTAAAGCATTACGATATACTCACACTCTTATACTCTTGTCTCATTTTCGAATGTTCTGTTGAAAATGCAGAAAAGGAATCTTCATAATAGGATTATCAAATTAATTAATGTTCAATTCTAGCAAGAAGGTGAACAGGTGACACCAGCAAATGAGTAATTGATTTCCTATCACTTAGTCAGTCAACATATAACGTATGCCAATATCAATTTCATCTCCACCGTGAAAAACATTTTTTATGAAACATGATTTAACTCAAATACTTTAGAAGATGGCAAGAAATCTAATCGCTTGTTCATTGATCTGGCAGACAAAGTCACAAAATCGAAGTGCACTACAATTGAATTGTAAATCACGATTAATATTATACAGTGAAAAAGTTGAAATGCACGTTCCTCGTAATTTTACTCTCCTTCTTGACGTGCAAGTGTATGATATGATATGTGAGATAGAACTTGGGAATAAAATGCTTATTGTTCTTATTGGTTTTCATTTCTTGTGATATATTACAATCGCCATCTTCTTCTATCATGGATACAAACTGATAGTGAATAGTAACTGATCAAAGAAATTGTCTGAACATGTGTTATAAAACTACTGTAAGCTTACAGTATTTGTTATCAAAGATAAGTCTTATACTTCAATGCAGTAGATAAGAACCATTTTTTGCGAATAATAATATTAAACTGTGCTCTTTCATTGTAACGAATCGATCTGTTTGCTTACTTAGAATACCGAAAAGATATGTAAAGTTTTTACCATGAAGTCATCTAGCATCATTTCATTTACCTATGCTATTTTTACAGATTCACCTCAATCTTCTTTGGTTTCACTTGAAAAAGTAGTGAGTTGTTCTATCAACATAACTTTATATATGCACCACCATAAAGAACACTCAAATCACTTATTCGCGGAAAAAACGTAGTTCGGCAGCGTCGCCCACCGTTGAATATTGTTGCTGCATTAGATTAATTTTATTTTCGCGTTCTGTTTGCATCGATAAAAAAACATTCGTTCGATACTTCAACATCGCTTTGTTTACATAGGACGCTGGCAAGAATGATGCTATTGACGCAGAAAACATAAAATCCATTAGAAAGTTGCCGTATTGACTATTTTCACCGAAAGATGCACGTCTGTCTTGTTTTCGAGCGAGTGAGAATCAGTTATAAAACAAGATTAAGAAGCATAATATGATAGAACATAGCACTGTATTTTCAGTGGTGGCTGTTCTCGACAGATATTAATGATTGCTTGAAAGAGTGAGTGTTGGTGATTGTTTTCTCTTTACTCACACCCACACCCACACCCTCAATGTGTCTCCTACAGCGAAAGAAAAAGAAAAGAAAGTCTAAATTAGTACATGTATGTATAGAATTTTATTAATATTTTCACAAGGCGTAAGAAGCAATCAATTGTCAGAAGTTCATTTTGCCCGCTATTGTAGTTGTCTTGATTGTTGTAGATTTTGTCACCTTCGATTGGAACATCCATTTGAAGTATTTTCTTCCAACAATTGTCTCACCAAACTCCTTCTTGTAGCCACTTGAAGGCAAAACGAAGAGGACAAATCCAAGCGTTTGTGGGACATACGAGAGTAAATAAGCGACAAGAAGAGCATGTTTCTGCCAAACATTCAACTGCGTACAAGCTAGAGTGAAGGAAATAATAATTTGAGGTAAAGCGGATAAGACAATGATAGCCGGTATCAGATAGAGTTCTTTGTGCATAGTGAACTGTTTCTGCAATACTTGTCCAAATGTTGTCTTCTCGCCATTTGCTTTTGTTCGTCTTCGAGCAATTTGTATAATTAAGATTGTGATTGCTATCGCTTGAATCAAGAATGGGATGATGTGGTGCAAAAGTGTGCTCACTCGATCATAATTAGCCAAAATACTCTGTTGAAAATTAGTTACACAGACTGAAGCAGAAGAATTCGGCTGACGAATGATGTCATAAGCGAGAATCTCGTGAGTGTGCAGACCGAATAGAGCAAGAATAGTGATTATACTTATGTAGATACCAATTGAAGCATTTTTGACAGTGGTGCTCGTAGGAAACCAAACCATGAGAAGGCGATTAATGGTAATCCAACTTGTTAGCCAATAGGATGAGCGAGTGATGGTAGACAGCATAAAACTGACGATTTTGCATGACGTAGCAGTTGTCCATCCCAATGTACCAAACAGAACGTGAATAAACTTGAAAAAGAGTCCGAGGAGAGCACATTGATTGAGGATGCTGAGAGCAAATAAGTAGTTACCAACTCTGACTTTGCGTGGCTCTTTTCGTATGAAAGTGAGAAGAGAGCAGAAATTGTTGAGAAGACCAATAGTGAAAATAAGAAAGGTCAGCACAATGTAGATTACTTGAGTTGTTTTAGACTGCGAGGTAAGAAGAGAGTCGAGTGTGAATCCGAAAGCTCGCATACTAAATTCGCACAGACGTCCTTGATAACAGTGTGGACATAAGCAGATAAAGTCTTGAGAATTTGTCGGATCTCCCTTGATACATTTTCCACCTGATAAACAAAAGTCACAGCGGTCTGATAGGGGATCATATATGAAACACCCGACGCGGGCGTTATCCGCTTGGCAAAGACAAAAATAAGTGCTGTCGTAAAAACACAAGCGATGTTTATCATTACGGCAAATCTGATGATATTTGAAGAGGGCAGATAATTTCGATGTCTCGTCTGAAACCAGAAAGTGTATGAGTGAAAATTTCGTTCAAAATGCAAATAACTTACCTCTAGGCAGTAGTGATATGGCATTTGGACACAATCGAGGTGTTGATGTGACATTGATAATTGCACTATACCATTGAACGTAGAGCACGTAATATTGAGGGTCTGAGAAACCTTCGTAAGTTTTTAGCAGACTCAGAAACGGAGCCTTTTCTTGATCATGATAATAACGAATGGTTAGCGGCAGTCCAGTAGTGATCATCTGATGTCGTAATCCGAGTGTAGACCGTGAAAACTGGCTCCCGTCGTAAAACTGAACGACACTAACACATGGTGCTAAAGTCATGTTCACATCAATTGCAACCGGGACTTTCTCATCTTGGCATCGATCACCATAGAACTGTTTTGAGCATTGACAAACGATTGGTTTCTCGCCAGTTGGATCGTTTGTTAAATGACAAGTTCCATTCAAGCCGCAAGGATCTGATTTGCATGCTTCATTTCGTATATGACAACTAGGACCAAAATAATCGAGAGAACATATGCATAATGGATTATCTGGATTCTTGATCAGACCACGTTGACCAGGTCGACAAATAGAATCTGATGAACAATATGAAGAACATTTTTGTTCATATACAGTGCAGTTCATATCTGTGTAACCTGATTTACACGAACAATAGAACTTTCCTTCTTCGTTTAAAACGGGTTTACAGATAGAATTTGCACTACATGGCTTTTGAGCGCATGGGTCGAGGGTGGAATTTCCAAACCAGGAAGGAAATTTCAACACCGTTGCGAGACGAAAGGCCGGAAGGTAATCAAAGTAGATTATGTATCGAAATGATCCTAACTCGATTGTGTCATTACTTTGGAGTGCGTAAACATCAAAATGTACCGAATAAGGATGATTATTTATAACATCTGTACTATTCAAGTATCGCCGCCGTTTATGCTCTAGCATTGTTACTGAACGAGAATAGAGAAGGTAAAAACGTTGTCTGACGTAGTTGTTTGTTTCTAATATTGGATTTACATAAAAAACATGATGATCGATATATTTTGTTTGGCGAAACACTAAGCTTGTGACAATCTTGAATAGACTTGAAGAAAGAAGCAGTGTAGGAGTAAGAGTACTGAGATCGAGATGTGTGATTATAGTAAGGCGGTCTGAGAAAAATTGGCAACGACGGCCGTAGTAGGCAGGTGGACAAAAACACCGCACGAAAGGTTCATCGCTTATGGCGATGCCTCGATTGCAGCCAAATAATCGGTCATCAAGTGTAACATCTTGTTTTTGCCGATATTCGCGCGTATTAAGCACCGTAGGAAGCCAATATTTAGTTTCTGCAACTGTCACTATTGATTTTTTCCGTTGCTGAATCGTGGGAATAACTGTCGGAAAGGTTGGCGGTCGGAAACTGACTCCGCTCATTTGTTTTTTTCGATAGACTGCTCTGCGTACCAAATTATTATAGTATGGATGACACCAGTATTCATCTTCACCGTGCAAACATTGTTTGATCCCATCGCATCGTGCATTTTTGACACACGTTTCATTCAGACAAATCACATCGTCCTTGCCAGAACAGGTTGCATTTTTGCTTTTGTACGAGCAGAGTAATGAATTTGAACATGCTAGATTAGTTTCACAAGCAATCGGATTTTGAACGCAAGAATTATTACATCGCAATGTGTACCCGAGCATAAAGCCACTACAATCTTCTTGTGTATTTTTTTCGTCCACACCTCCGTAGCAATCGACAATTCCGTCACCGATCTGAGTGAGATTGATGCATGGCCGATAAGCATAAATATTCAGTGGGTTGGGAACCGACGCTAAATAACATGGATACTCTATTGACAAATTGCACAAATCCGAGAAAGGCATCTTCGACTGAGAGTACCTATGAATGCATTCTTGCTTTCGTTCATCCAAACCAGGTAGACGTTGGTTA